GCAAACAATGATGAGTACGTGAGCAAGCATTTGTTATAAATCGCATTGCAGTATGGTAAACACTATCCAGCCTTTTCAATAAATACGTAGAAGCATAGTTGGCTTGTTGATTTGGGGGGTGTTACGGAGTATTTATTAAATATAACAAACAATTGTGTCTGATTGGTCCAGATGCTACAGTTGATTGAGGTTATTCAAACTAACATAATATATATTTTTAAATGTTGCAGATTTATACAGCTGATTATCACATATAAAATACATTTTATTAAAAATAAAAACAAAAATTGTTCCTTCAACAGCTTGCCACTACCCTCAAAGGGACACCTTGGTACCTTATGTACCCCTAAAAGGTGCATATTAGTACCTAAATGTACCCATAAGGTGCTACTATGAAACCTTTTCTGAGAGTAGGTTGGCAGATGAGATACAGATCTTATAAAATATCTAAGAGCTAAAAAACAGAAACCTGATTCACTGTTTGTACAGGATTTATAATTTCAGAGAAAAGGAAACTTATGGTTTCGTTGGAACAGGATGTTTCATGGTAGGTGCAGGACATGCTAATTAACTGCACCTATTGTAATCCTTTAGGAGAGCAGAACATAAAAAGATGCTTTAAAGGATGTTGGGGATCAAACAACATTGAATCCATATGGCTTTCACTTTATGGACAAAGAAAAAGCACACACACTCTTAAAAATAAAGGTGCTTCAAAAGGTTCTTCACAGCGATGCCATAGAAGAACCATTTCTGGTTCCAAAAAGAACCATTCAGTCAAAGGTTCTTTAAAGAACCATTTCTTTCTTAACTTTTTATAATCTGAAGAACCTTCTTTCGCCACAAAGAACCTTTTGTGAAACAGAAAGGTTCTTCAGATGTTAAAGGTTCTTTATGGAACCATTTAAACAAAAAGGTTCTTCTATGGCATCGTGAAGCACCTTTATTTTTAAGAGTGCACACGCAAAACAAAGAGACACAAAATATCTTCCTTTGTGTTCCACAGGGGATAAGTCAAACGGGTTTGGAAATGACATGAGGATGCGTAACTAATGACAGCATGTTCATTTTTAGGTGAACTGTCCCTTTAAGATGGTTGGTTTTAGTAGACCTTTACAATCCTTGTAATTCTTTAAGTTTAAACCTCCCTTTACTGGCAAGTAAATTATGCAAGCTGAAGCTTCAGTTTCTAATAATGTCTTCTTTTGTTACACTTTCGTTTTCTCATGAAGACCGTCCCCTTTTGAAAAGCTAAATAGGTGCTGAAAGAGGCACGTTATTTCATTCACCTCCTGATCAAAGATGGATGTGCAAATCTCAGTTTTTCTTCTGTTCGTTCTTTTCACTGCAGGTACAAAGACAAATAGTGTTTGTAATGTTATTGGGTAATACGGATCATTGATGTCTCTCTCTCTTTTATTACTAAAGGACACTC